CATGGTAGGTTTGATTGTAGTTTGTTAAAAAAAAGATATATTAACTATTTACTTGATTAAGGGTGGTGGATAAAGTTTGATTTTGGTTATAAAAGAAATTGAACCATTAATTAACTAAAATTTTAGATTTTAAAATTTAATAATTATTAACTACATTAAAAAAATTAAGTTTTTATTGGTTAGTTACATTTTTTAAAATAATCATTTAAATCAGTTTAAGTTTTAATTAAAAAGTTATTTTTAGATTTTGTAGTAAATTTTTTTGAATTTTTGAACTTTCATTTATTTATTTTTATAAAAAAAACAAAAATTTACCTAAATAAATAAATAACTTGTATTTCACCTATCTAATAATAAATAGTTACTTTTAAATTTTTTTTTTAAAAAAACTAAAACTTTATAAATAAATAAATTTATATTTGTCCGGGCATGCAAAGGAAGGGAGTGGCGTGGATGGGAAATTTTTTTGCTATTTCATGATAAAGTTTGAGTTTTTTTTTTTTTTTTTTTACTATTTTTTATGTCTATGATTATGAGATTAATATGATTGAACATAGAATTAATCTAATGGTCGGATTTTGAGCACAAGAATTGCACGATAGAGGAGTCTTAATGTCAAACTTGAAATCCAACAAAAAGACGAAGTGGGTCGTTTCTTATGGGTCCTAGCGAAACCCAATTCGCCAACCCAAAGGAAAAATCAAAGCAAGCTGTACAAGAGCAATTATTTATTCTTCTTTGGTTTTGGATGTTGAAATTTAGAGCTGAATGTGTCAAATGTCCAATGGAACCGTGCAAAAGTGAAGATTTGGTGTCAAAACAGAAATTAATGTTCATTAATTGAGTTTGCGTAAAAGTTAAGTTGGGAAAAACAATTAAACTTATTTTATTTTAATAAAATATTATAAAAAAAAATACAAAAACACCTTTACTTTTTTTAAAAAAATTAAGATATTTTAATTTTTTTTAATGAGAATTAATTAAAGTAATATAATTCTTAATATATTTTTTTAATCTTTTACAAGTATAGCTGATTATTTTTCCCATAAAAATCATAACTGCATAATATTGTTAATAAAAGTTATTAATGAATCATTTTCATATAAAACATAAACCATCATAATTCAGACAATAATGAATCCAAAATTCCAAATCCATGCCTTAAAGAGGGTTTTTAAAGAGGGTTTCTAAACTTAAAGAGTAATGAATTGCTAACTATAAATGTTCATCAATCCTGAGGTTATAATTTTGTTTACTGAAAGAAAATTAAAAAAAAAAAAAAATCTCCAATTCTCTCTAATAGACCAGGAGAACCACAAATGACAAAACCTCCATCTTCAGCTACCATTACAAAACACCAAACACAATCAAATTCATTGATTAAGAATCAGAATTGCCATAATACTCTAGTGATCAACTGAAATTATTGCTACAAGATATATAAATATCAGCTAAGGTACTATGATCTTACCAGAAAAAGAAAAGCTTATGATCTAACTCAGAAAAACTTAGTACTGCTTATTGTCTTCAAGGACAGCTTCTGTGGGACGTTTATGTCTGAGCTTCTATTCCCTGTGATCTTAACAGTGAAGAAGAATCCCTCTCCATGTTCCTCCCTGAAGCTAAGGGTGAAGTGGCAGCGATTTGGAATGAGGAAGATAGAGATGGAGCTGGGGCTGAAGAAGTAAAGGTCGAGAGAGTAGTGGCATCACTGTTCAAAGTCATGCTTTTTTCATTCACCAGTCCCTCAGCCACAACAGTTCGCAAAGTTGGCATCTCAATCTCCAGTACTCCCTCAAGCATTTGCACCACTTTTCCCATTGATGGCCTCTGAGATGGTTGCTCTTGGATGCACCAAAATGTCACCTTCATAGCCCTCATCACTTGCTCAATATCGACATCCAGATTGGAAAGTTTTTTGTCCATAATTCCCATGATATTTCCCTTCTCAAACTCTTCGTAAGCCCAAAGAGAAAATCTTCTGTGGTTTGTTTCAGCTGAGACATCAAAATTCCTCCTCCCACTCACTATCTCTAGCAAAACCATTCCGTAACTATATACATCAGACTTGGTTGTAATTGGAAGATTAGCAAGCCACTCCGGAGCCAAATACCCTCTTGTCCCTCTAATACTTGTTAATGTCAAGTGCCGATGATCCTTTGGATTTATAAGCTTCGCAAGGCCAAAATCTGACACTTTAGCATTGTAGCATTCATCTAGGAGGATATTTTCTGGTTTCACATCGCAGTGAACAATGCAGTCTCTACACTCCTCATGTAGGTAAGTGATCCCTCTGGCTGTCCCGAGAGCAATGTTGAACCGCTGCTCCCAATTCAGTAATTTCCTTGATTGGTCATCTGGGGTGAACAGAAGATTATCAAGAGAACCATTTTTCATGAACTCATAAACTAAGAGCCTATGACGCCCATCAGCACAAAAACCTATCAATCTAACCAAGTTCAGATGATGTGTGCTACTAATGGTTGCCACTTCCATCCTGAACTGCTTCTCACCCTGCTCAATTCCCTCCAGTCGTTTGACAGCAACAGGCATTTTATTAGGAAGAATTCCTTTATAGACCATCCCGAAACCTCCTGCTCCAAGCACCTCTCCAAATCCCTTTGTCGATTGTTGCAGCTCCTTGTAAGAAAACCGCGTAGGTGCACTAGATGCATATTCCAGAAGAGCATATTTTGCTTGCAAACTCCCAAATTTGGAACCATGTTTGTAAGAGTACCACCAAAAACCACTCCAAAATGCAGCAAAAATCAAGAAGGCCGCGGCAACCAAAGCACAAATAATCCATCTATCTGATTTCCAAGTTCTACCCTTCCCTGCATTCTCCAGCACAGGCAACGGATTTGGCAATACTGGTCCACAAACCTTCATGAATGACGAGCTGGGAAGGGAAGGACTCTGATACCCTGTAACAAAATCTGACATTTTCATGTAACAACTGCCTGTTCCATCAGCCAAGGAAGTGGAAGCAACACAAGAAAGACTCACAAGACAATTAGATCTACAGGCTTCAATCCCAACAATAACAACATTTTGCGAGGAAACCTCCGGCGGATATGTCAGGAACTTGGTATGTCCCAATTCTAACGTGGTAACATTCTCTTGGCAATCCTCAAGCTCAGCTTTTCTTTTACACCCTTTTCTACCATCATTCACATCAACAGGCTCAAAATTCTGAGATGGACAACTGCAAATCGGATTTTCATTTATATAACTACAAATCCCCAGGTTGCCACAATACCCAAAAACCAGACATTGGTCAAGAACAGCAGCCCAACTTACAGTCCCATTATTCTCACTGGTGGCACTGTAAATCCTTAGGTTGCCATCACTATCCAATCTCAGAAACCTAAATACGTTATCCCCTTCACCATAATCAGTACTGTAAGCAGTAATCACTCCACCAGGAACGGAAGAATCATAGCTCATCAAAATCCCATTAGATTGCAATACCAATCTAGGTGAAGTCAAATTCACAGCAATGGATGAATTAAACCCTTGACTCCAGTACTCAATCCTGTCTTTCCATTTTAAAGTAAGATTTCCCGAGCTAAGAAGAGAAAAAGAGTAAGACCCAGAACGTAAATTCTTACTGGAAGTGAAATTCTGTGACGGAACGATGGTATCCGTCGGGTATTCAAACGAGGACCAGACAGGCAAGCCGGAATTGCTCAATAGCAACAAGTTCCCGGAATCGTCCAGAGCCGCATGGGACACTCCATGATTAGCAGTACCGGAGTCCCAAACTGTGGTACCAGAGCCATTGGTGAGGCGGAGGACTCCGGTAGGGAGTAAATGAAGTGCCCCGCCAGAATCAACCACCGCCCGAGTTCCATTCCCACCGCCAACAGACCACACAGTGACTCCGGTCAAGTGGGTTATCACCGCAGCGAAAGAATTGACACCGCTGGGGATGAAATGAAGGGAGAAAGTGGAGCTGGGTGAAGACCAGGTTTGGTTTCGGTTCGAAGCGTAGAGAGTGGAGCCTGGGGGAATGGTAGCGGATGAAGATGAGATGGCAAAATGAAATGCGAAGCAGTAAAGAATAAGAAAACAGAGATGAGATGATGACATTTTCAGAGAATTTCTGTGTTTTCAGATTTTCTCATGCCATTTTCCTAGGAAACAAACAGAGCCAAAATCATAAAAGGAAGAAGAAAACTGGAAATTGGGAAGCACTAGTTCTCTATTCCATGCCGGTCATGCCGGTTTTGGAGGAAAATTTTCTCACCTGATAACGATATTTTATTCTTTGATTTGACGGGTGGGGAAATAACAGAAACACCAGTAGAGAAATGGAACCGCAACTAATGGAGCGATTTTAATTTGGTTAAATACCCTTTCTGGTCCCTCTACTATTGAAAAAAGTCTTTTTTGGTCCTTATACCGAAAAAATCTCTTTTTTAGTCCTTGAATTTTAAAATCTGGCCCCTTTTTGGTCTTTCTGTTAAATTTTTGCTTATTTGGCATGTTAATTAACAGAATCATTTAATTATTTTTTATACAATTAATATTGTAAATGATGTGAAAATTAGGTGGATAAAATTGTAGAAATTAAGTTGTTAAAATTATAGGTACATGTAAGCATTTGTGCCACATGTACAAATTAAAAATTTTATTTTTTAATTTATAAATTAAATGAATTTAAATGAAATTAACTATAATTTCTTTATCTTTTTTGTTCTCTTCATCCTCGCCATTCTCTTTGCCATCCTCTTCATCATCCATCCCTCTTCATTATACCTGCTGGAACCTGGCAACTTGGGTTCTGTGCAGAACCCAGATTTGGGTTTCGTGGGTTCTATGTAAAACCCAAGATAGGTTCTGCGCAGAACCCAGTCCTTGGGTTTCGAGTGGAACCCAGATCTGGGTTGGGTTGCTCGATGCCAGTTTCAGTTTTTGCTACATTGAGGAGTTTCAAGTCATCTGAATCAACATTATATCTTTTCTTCTCACTTCGCACAGTTTTATGGCATAGTGAGGCATCAATTTGTTTTTTGCTAGATTAGATTTTGATGCGTATATCTCATTTTTGTGATTTATTTTCAATTTTATTAAGAATGTAACCTAATCTTGTGTGTGATTATTGGTAATTCTACTGCATTATTGGTCTATCTCATTTGTAAAACAATTTTGATGAGACATTGAGAAATTTGAGGATAATTTCTAATTTCCTTGGGTTTCGCAAGCAACCCAGAAAACTGGGTTTGAGGAACCCAACAAAGGGGTTTTGCGAGCAACCTAGGATGCTGATGACATGATGATGCCTAGGATGAGGATGAGGATGAGGACTAGGATAAGGACGAGGAGAAAGAAAAATATGAAGAATTTAAAATTAATCATATTTAAATTCATTTAATTCATGAATTAAAATGTAAAATTTTTAATTGAGGAATGCTAATGCACTTGCCTCCTGCACTCTCCGACCAACTCTTTCATTTTTATTGGGCCACATTATTTTGGTTTGGAAAAGGTTGAACTACAAAGCAGGAAACAAGCTTACGTGGCCCAATAAAAAGGGAAGTGTTGGCCAAAGAGTGCAAGAGGCGAGTGTCCCTAGCACTGCTATTTTTAATTTGTACAGGTGGCATCCGCGTAATTTTCACATCATTTATAATATCATTTGTATAAAAAATAATCAAGTGATTTTGTTAATTAACCTGTCATATCAGCCAAATTTTAACCGAAGGATTAAAAAAGGGTCGGATTTTTTAACAGTAAGGATCAAAAAGGAGATTTTTTTGGTATAAGGACTAAAAAAGGACTTTTTTCTATAGTAGAGGAACCAAAAAGGGCATTTAACCTTTTGATTTCTTTGTGGAAATATCGCACAAACTATTTGTCGTCTTCCTATGGAAACCATGGAGTTTTATTGTCCCTGATGTTCCAAAGATTTTTCAAATTGGTGGTAGAAAATATAAATGGCCAGATACAATCAACATTCAAAAATTCAAAGTCTAAGTAGAAGAAACAAAACATCTAGAGAAGGACTTTCTGACCAGAGCTTACTATGACATTCCACTCTTCTTTTGTGAAGAAATTCGAAGACTATGACCATGGAATGAAAACTCAAAGAATGTAAGTAACAGCGACTACACCTAAGATTGTGTTTTGGGTGGCTTATGTAAAATGTAAGTGCTAGAAAGTACTCTTAAGAGTTATTTTTATTTTTGTGCGAGTAAGACAATCTTTTCTTATCAAGTCTCCTCCACTTATCATATGTCATAATATGGCTTGAACTAAAATTTTTTTTTACCCAATTCTATACTAAAGAGATTACCATTGGGGATTAGATTGTTGGCTAAAATATTATAATAGGAAAGGATAATTACCTTAAGGGGATACAAGAAGTACACCTCACAAGAAAAGTTGAGATAGTGGCATAAGTGAAAAGACTTAGATAGTAGGTTTAGGTTGAGAGGTGTAGAGAAGAAAGGAAGAAAAAAAGTTCCTTTATTTATTTATTTGGATAAAATGTGAGTTCTTATTCCCAATACCAAGTATACAAAGCAGCACCACTAATAAAGGTTGTTATCAGATAAGATTTGTACAAAAGAATGAACAAATAACCAACAAACAACACTTAATCATGAATTACAGCTCTAATGCCCCACCATAATGCAACTGGTCGAGATAGTGGGGATGCTTTTGCCCTTGCAAAACTCAAAAATTTATCCCAAACATCAGCAATAACCAACTTACAATCTTAGATTCGAAATGAAACAATGATTGATGTATACACTTATTACGTTCAAACCAGATATGGTAAATTGTAGCATTCCACACGAGCTTGATAAGGGAATTGTAAAAAGCCTTCCTCTTGGTTTTCTTTTTCATCCATTGCCCCAATGGCATCAAAGATGTAATAAATGGAATGCTAGCCCTGTCTGATATCTTTCTCTAAACACTAGTGGAGAAAGAACATGCAAAGAAAAGATGGTCTCATCACTTGCCTTGTTGCATAGCACACAGATATCATTAATCTGAGCTGGCCACTTCTTTTGCCTGAAGCATGTGGACAGCCTATCAAGTAAAGCTAGCCAAGTTACAAAACTATGTCATGGTATAGAATTAGCAAACCACAGAAGTCTGAACCAATCTACCCTTTGTTGATTGCTTTGAAAACATTCCCATGCTGACTTTGTTGTAAAGGAGTTAGAGGATGAGGGTAACCAAATAACACTATCTACCTGGCTTGTAATTGTGTACAATGCCCCACATAACATTATTTGAACCTACAAGAGGGAAGGAGACCTTACTAGTGGCCATTTCCAATAGTTCCCATGCACTACAAGAGAAACTTTAGCCTTATGAGGCAAAGTAGTTGTTCTAACAATATCAGAACCATAGGTTTTTAGTAGAGGTCCATGAGGATGCCAATCATCAAACCACAAATATAGGCCTTCACCATTACCCACTTGATGCTTAATAAAAGGCCTAACAATACTTCTTAATTGTAGTATCTTCCTCCAGCTCCAAGAAGCATCATTAGGAACTTTTAGAGACCAAAAACTCATACCTCTCAATTGATATGCCTTAATCCAAGCAACCCAAATCAAGCTAGTCTTAGTAAAAAGCATCCATATGAATCTTGAAACACATGCTCTGCTCCAATCATAAAGAAATTTGAGTCCTAGTCCACCTTTAGGCTTAAGATGACATACCTTTTCCCATTGTACCTTTGCACCCCTTGCATCACTAGTCCTACCTTTCCATAGAAAAAAAACTACACAGTTTTTCAACCTCTGTTATAGTTCTCTTTGGCAGAATAAAAATGGAGCTCCAAAAAGTAGTAATACCCTGAATTACAAAAGATATAAGTTGTAGTCTCCCTGCAAATGATAAGGGCTTGGCAAACTAAGAAGTAATTCTACCAGTAATTTTCATAAGAAGGAGTTTTAAAGTTGCATCACTCAATCTACTAGTAATAAGCGGAACTCCCAAGTATTTAACAGGCAATGACCACAGCTTTAATCCATAAGTCTCTGTAATGATCTTAACCACTGAGTTTTGCACTCCAAAACAAAACAATTCAAATTTTTGGTAATTAACTTTTAAATCAATCACTTGATAAAATTGCTTTAAACTGCTATCAATAGTTTACATTCCATTCATTGATTCATATGTAAAAATCAACAAGTCATCAATGAAACACAAATGGGTAAGACCTACTCTCTGGCACTTTGGGTGAAAAGGGAGTGCACCTATTGCAGTTGCCTTATTCAACATCTTTGAAAAGGCTTCCATACAAATAACAAACAAATATGGAGATAAAGGATCTCCTTGTTTGAGCCTTTTTCTACCATGAAAATAACCTTCTAAATATCCATTCAAAGAGCTAGAGAAAGTAAGAGAGGTGATACAGACCTCTATCCATCTTATAAATTTGTCAGGAAAACCCAATGCTTTGAAAGCCTTGAACAAGTAGGACCATTATATTGAGTCAAATGATTTCATAAGGTCTAGCTGTACTACACACCTTGAGGGTAGCTTGTCCTTGTGGTAATGCTTGACTAGTTCCTGTGCAACTAAGATATTCTCAACCATAAGCCTTCCTTCCACAAAAGCACATTGATTTGGACTGATAAACAAAGGCAAGCATTGTTTTAGTCTATTTGCTAAGATTTTTGTGATGCATTTGTAAAGAAAGTTGCAACATGATATTGGTCTAAATTCTGTCATCCTCAAAGGGCAAAAGACTTTGGGAACCAAAGAAATAATGGTAGAGTTCACTTGCTTGAGTAATTTTCTTGTGACAAAAAACTATTGAATTGCTTGTGTTACCAAATCTCCAGCAACTGGCTAAGCAGATTTATAGAATTTTGCCGTGAAACCATTTAGGCTAGGGCTTTTATTTGGTGGACTAGAAAAAATTACTCCATTTATTTCATCTGGGGCAACTAGTTGCACTAGACGTTGCTTCATTTCATCTGGCAACTAATAATCAAATAATTCCTTTAGCCATTTCTCACTACTACGCCCACAATTTGGATCCTCAATTCCCAATAACAACTAGAAAAAAGAAACAGCCTCAGCAACTTTTTCTTCTTGACTCACCAATCATTTACCATCTAAAGATTCTAGTTCTCTTATCTGATTTTTGCTTCTTCTTACTTTCATCATTTTATGGAAAAAGTAGTGTTTTGGTCTCCCTCCTTTAGCCAGTGAACTCTAGATTTTTGCTTTAGAAAGGATTCTTTAACTAGTTGAAGTTCAACCACTTTCTTAGCTTGATCATGCTCTAATAACAACAGATCAACAAAAGGAGAATTTAGCAGCTCAAGTTGAATTTTATGTAACTTCTCTCTTTCGCTCTGTACTCTATAATGTATATCACTATAGCATTCCTGGTTGAGCCTCCTAAAAGGAGCCTTAAGTGCATTCTAATTTTTACATAGTTGGAACATAAAACAACCATGTACCTTTGCACTAGACCAAACCGCCTTAACAATGTCCAAGAATTTTTCATTTTTGACCCAAAAATTGAAAACTTGAAGGGTTTTCTAGCATTGTAGACAACTTCCTCTTGTATTGTAACATTCTCAGCACAATGATTAGATGTAGCAGGTAGCAAACATTCAGCTTTAAAATTTGTGAAAACTTTTAACCAAGCACTATTTACAAGCAACCTATCCAGCTTTCGAGCTATTATACCTTCCAGCCTCTTGTTTGTCCAAGTAAAGAGGGGACCAGATGCGAGAAGATCAAAAAGCTCAACTTCATTTAGTTTATAGTGAAAGAGTTCAAAATCAGAAGAAAATTGTTTAGTATCTAACCAATCAGAGTGTTCATGAGGCCTTCTAATTTCGTTAAAATCACCTCCCAAGATCCATGGAACCCAAGTTAAACTCTAGCTAAGCATCACTAATTCATCCCAAAGGGGTCTCGTTGGATCATAATACTTTGCATAGATAAAACTAGCAAAAGTGTAATGCTTAGTATTTGTGTCCATAATATGAACATGAATGGCCTAGTGTGGCTCATGTTATGCACTTCAAAGTGAATATGATCTTTCCAAAATATTCATATTCTCCCTGATGCTATGCATATCCTTTATTTGATTATCAAAACAATTAGAGGGGAGGGGAAAGAAGTCTTTTGTTTTATTTTTTCTTTTAATTTATTTATTTATGCGAATAAAAAAAAAAAAAGAAAGGGAGGAGAGGGGACTGGAAGAATAAAACTCTTCTCCCCCATTCTCCACAATCCAAACATATTGTAAGGGTTTGTTTGATTAAAGATCCAAATTTATTAGAAAAGATTTTACTAGGAAAATAGTTTTAAAAAGTATTATATGAAAAGTTGATAAGTATTATTTGGAAAGTTAGATAAGTTTTATAAGTAAATTTTGTTAGAATTTTGTTGGATTGTTAATTTTTCTATATTTGATAGGAAATTGATATAAAAAAAGTTGATAGGAAAGTTGCGAAATGAGTTTAGGGAAAAAAATTTTCGTTTCAAAAAGTGTGGAATAAAAAGTTTATGGATTAGGAATTATATAAGAGAAAATAAGTCTAAAAATGTTAGTTTTACCCCCTTTTTATTGTAATATTAATGTGTAAAAATTTATAAATAATTTTGTAAAGAAAAAAATTTTAAAAAGTTTGAAGGAAAAAATGACTTAGTAACTGAATAGGGCCTATTGATTAAATTAAAAAAAAAAAATCCCTAAGCAGCCCCCAAAAGTCACTAATTTTTCTTTATTTTTCTTTATAATTAAGAAAGAGCCAACAAATTTTTAATTAAGCTTAAGGCATGATCTATTAGACTACTCAAAAAGCAAGGTAGTTTAGAGACTTAATA